TTTTTTGCAAAATTTGATTTATTGGGGCAGATTACCATTTGATATTTGGCTGCAAATGATACAATTTCTTAGAGTTAACATTAGAAAATATTATGATATCTGAAAAATTTAAGAGAGATTTTCAATTCCAGTCTACCATTGAAAGTGTGCCATTTTGTACCATCTAAGTATCATGATAAACATGACAATGGTTGTAGGCTAAAATGATCAAACTGTTTATATGGTTTTCATATTTGTTATATTATAGTATTTGATTTATATATACAACTACAAAGGTTATCTTACATAAGAGTTTATTACATCAAGTGACCAGTCTAACACATTTTAAAAATTCTTTATTCCTCTACTGTACACAATTTAAAGAATTTTTAAAATGTGGTTAGATTGGTCACTTGGTATGATAAATCCTTATGTTAGATAACCTTCATAGTTATATAAATCAACACCATAATGTTATATAACAAAAGGGTTATAAATACAAAATAATGTAATAAATATAATGTTTATTGTTATTTTTGCCTGGGTAACACTGGTCTTACCTGTTAGTATTTCTAAACACTCAAAATTTCTTAGTATCATCAGATACAACTAAAGTACCTAGTCAGAACTTCAGAAATGATGATGATGAAGACTCAAGATAATTTGAAAACTTAATATTAAAATCTTAAACTTGAATTTGTTTGCAAGTTATTGTTCCATTGTGCATCAATTTATATTTTCCAAAATTTATTAAATTATTTAATTGAAACTTCTACAGCATTTCAAAATTGAAATTGTTGTTGAGAAGAGATTTATATAGATTTAGGTTATCAGCACAATATTCTGTTTATATTCTTGGCTTACATTAGTATTTTACATTATTTATGTATCAAACTGTTATGTAGTAAGAAAAGTATTTACTACAAAGTTAGTAAAACTGAAATTATTAGAAGATAGGATCATCTCCCAAGAATTATTTTAGAGAAAAATGACAATACTTTATGTAGACTTAGGTTTAACATGTACTTTAACAAATGAACTTAGCAAGATAAAACTTAGTTGAGAGCTATTGTTTTAGGAATAAAATGTTTGTTTTTCTTTTAAGATTGAAATATTGTAAATAATAGTTAATAATTTCATTTATTTTTTTATATTTTTTCAGTGATAAAAATAACCTTCATTTTGGTGCTATCATATGTGCATTGGGAGCACGTTACAAATCCTACTGCTCTAATATAGTTAGAACATTGCTTGTCAATCCAACTCAAGAGCAACAGAATCTTTACAACTTTCTAGTCACTTTACAAGAAGAGATTCTCAACAAACTTCAGGATGGCATAAAATTATGCGACGTTTATAATGCAGCTATTGCATTTGTTGAAAAAGAGCACAAAGAATTGGTTGATAGAATGACTAAAAATATTGGGTGTGTATTTTATTAATATTTCTAAATATCAGAATAATGTTATTGCATTGTTATGTTCCTTTTAAGTTCTGAAATTATTTGTAATAACTCAAATGCATTTCTATGGTCCTTTTATACTAGTAAAAGTCAATAAATATTTTCCCACAATTATCCATTTAATGCAAATTTCCTTAAAATTCTGACACTTGTTTTTCAAAGAATTTTTTAATATAAAAGCATACAGTATTTTAAATTTAAAAAATTATGGAAAAAAGCATAACATAGTATGCTTAGTTTCATCTGTTTGATGAAATTAAGTACTTACTAAAAATGTCTGTTAATTAATTTATAATTATTTGAATGTATTAAGCTTTTGTGTATTAACTATTTAGGGTAAAATATAGTAAAACGTTTAGAGTCGTTATTTTAAGATATAAGTATTGGAAATTCTCAAGGATCAGTTTTTTTATAACAATGCTGCATATAGATATTTAATAACTTTAGATTTTAAACCAAATAAACTAGATACAAATACTTAGTTTGCAAAAATAGAAAATCAATTTGCAAGAAAATATTAATAGAAATGATACTGTTTGATTTAAATTAAAGTATTCTGTGTGAATTGGGTTGAACATTTTTTTTTTTNTGAATTGGCATTAGAATATTCTTAAATTTATAAATTAAATATTTAAATTCATATAATATATTGACTGAGATATGATATAATCATTACAGTAACCAAAAGAAAACATTTAAAATGAATCTTTAGGTGTACACTTTCTCTAAATTTTATCATTCTGTAAATAGTATTATTAAAGTTAGAGAAAAATTGCTTATAAAAATGTATTTTGAATGTTTTATTTTGATATCTGTAAGAGTTATATCATCAGATCTTTGTCAATACATCATATGAACTTGATTTTATTTCATATAAGCTACACTGGAAACACTTATTAACCTAAATATTTATAGTGATAATTGAATAAAGAAATTTCATTTTGATTTGTTTCTTATGAAAACAAAATCTTATAATAACTTAACCAATGATTAAATAAAGAAATGTTTAAAAAATGAAAATTTCTTCTTTGTATGACTTACTGCAGTTGATCATATACAACACAACTAAGTTTGTTAATTCAGCACTTATGGGATTAGCGAGATGAATTGTGAAAATATCAAATTAACTAAGATTTTGTATTTTTGCAAAATTTGATAAGTTATATGTAAAGAGCGGTTTTTTCAAGCTCCAATGGTCCATAAAACAGACGAGTATAAATAACAAAATGAATTTATTACCAAAAGTTAGGTACAAACATAGTTACTTTTCAACATAATCACCGTGAAGGTTGACGAATTTGTCATATCTGAAGACGAGCTTTTCCATCCTCTTGTCATAGAATGTTGCTGCCAGTGAATTGAGATGATTGTAACAATGTTGTTTTGAAGATTATCATTAGTCTCAAACCTGCTAGCCATGTTTTCAGTGCAGAAAAGAAGTAGAAGTCTTCACACATTAAAAAGTTTTAAGCTGGGTGGAGGTGGTAGTCTTCATGACCTTTAAACTCCCAGCGTATAGCCCCAATTTAGCGCCAAGCGACTTCAACCTCTTTCCTGAACAGAAAAAGTGGCTAGGAGGGCAGAGGTTCAAGACTAATGACAATATTCAAAACAATGTTAGGGCCCATCTCAAGTCATTGGTGGCAACATTCTACAACAAGGGGATGGAAAAGCTCATTCACAGATATGATAAATGCCTGAATCTTCACGGTGATTATGTTGAAAAGTAACCATGTTTGTACCTAACTTTTGGTAATAAATTCATTTTGTTAATTACACTTGTCTTTTTTTTATGGACCATCAGAGCTTGAAAAAAAAAAAAAAAAAAACAGTTTATGTATAATATGCTACCTGACCATTGTAGACACATTACTCTACATTTTGTACCAGCATGTTCTGCTTTATGTTTCTAATTTGCATATTCTTTAATTAGTCTGAAGATAAAACAGTGCATGACTATACTGTGCCAAGATTGATTTTTTTTTGTTTGTTTATTTATTCTCTGCCCTGTTGGCACAAAGAGGGCCTTTTTATGAATCTTATTAAGGGTTTTTCCAGGCCTACAATAGGGAGGCAGGGTGATAAGAGATAGGGCTGACATATCTGGGACAGATCACCCCAAAAGAATTCCTGGGATTTTGATCTGTCCAGATTTCATTTGGGTCTCCAGAGTGGTAGGCTGATGTCTTGAAGCTTGGCCATCTGATCCCACTAAGATTGATTTGTAAAACCTGTAAAAATGTTAATGGTCATGCTACTGCACAAAATTAACAATAATAATGATTTATGATTCACAGGCATATAATAATCATCATCTAGGTGTATACTATGTTTTTGTCATGCGTCATTAGTGCACTGCAAGTCCAAATTCTAATTTTTAGAATAGTGGCATACTGGATTATTATTGGACAATTCTAGATTATTGGCCACTTTTCATTGGGTGCTGGATTTACAAACTTCTGCCATATATTAATATGGAAATACAGTGGAACCCCGGTTAACGAACTTAATCCGTTCCACGACTCCGTTCGTTAACTGAATTGTTCGTTAACTGAAGCAATTTTTCCCATAGAAATTAATGCAAATGCAATTAATCCGTTCTAGTCTCCGAAATTTTTGTCATTTTATTTGTAATATACAGTAATTTTCTTTGATGAAAATGTAGGAAAACGTAGTATCTATCATTACAGCAACAAACATGTAAACTTTGTTTAATAAAATAGCACTGTTTAATAAAATAGCACTGTAATAAACTACAACATACCTTCGTTTGTTGTAGTTGGTGGCAGAAAAGTGGAGATATACGAACCTTAATGCTTAGAAGGGAAATCCCCTCCAAAAAAATAACGGGTAGCACTTCATCGGAAGATTCTTCGAGTCGAAGTCTCTTCCGGAAAAAAAAAAAACCACCAGTGGCTAAGTGGTCTTCGTACCTTGAACGTGGGGAGTTCATTCGTGGGTTCGCACCGCGCTCAGACGGGCTGGCCACGTGGAGTTTTTTGTGATTTCTCCACGTCTGTAACACCTAAATAGGGGCCAATTTCCCTTAAAAATACCTCCCAGAAGGCATTCCCTCTAGTCAGATCACCCAAGTGTTGCCTTGCCATAACTTAACAAAGAAACAAACTCTTTCCATAAAGAATTGATCTAAAGTTGATTGTCTTACTCTTTTAATCAAAATTTTTCTCAAATGCGATAACGCATTGTAGTTTATATCGCGTTGTCGTTTTCTATTGCCACTATGACTTTTTTCTTTCTTGGATGCCATATTGATTAAATATATAAATCACAAAACTGAAAAAAGAAGTATAGCACAAACACTCGGAAAACCAATGCTTAACTCGCACATGCCTAACATCAACTAAAATTTGACACAAAATACCGTTACGTTCGTTATCCGAGACAAAATTTTTGCAAAATAAAAGTTCGTTAACCGATTTGGTCGTTAACCAGGACGTTCGTTAACCGGGGTTCCACTGTATAATATACATAATAATGTAAAATTAGAAATAGCATTTTAAATTTTATGAGAGTATTATAGAGTATGATGCTTAAATAGGTGGATGTAAGTGCGGCTGTAGCATATATCATGTCACCAAAAGAAGATGTTGAGCTGAACACTGTCAGGAAAGCATGTCAGGTCACTGTTGATGTCTACACAAAGTATCTTAAAGATCAAATTATGGAAATTATTGATGCTGACAAGGTAGTTTTTATTATATTTTTAATATGGTATATATTTTGTATATGTTGTTTTATTCTAAGTAGAATTATATTGTGAACATTTTTTATTAAGACAATGCTGTTACCATAATTTTTAGTTTGCAAAAATTTTAAAGTTTTAAATGCATGAAAGATATACATTAAATAGCTAGGCAAACAATAAAATGAGTAGTTAAACTTGATTTATCAATATTTAACACAAAAGCAATGTGTTCCATTATTAATTATTAGCATTACTATGCTAATAATACCTAATTATATAAAGAAACATAGAATATCTCTGTTTTTTTAAATATAATTGATATGTTACTTAAAAGTAACTTGTTAAGAATATTTATTCCAAAATTTGTTTTTGAGATAAACTTGATTAACGTTGACTGACTGACATAATAAAAAAGGTATATATGTAACTAGTTCTAATGAAAAACAGAAGATTAATAATAGTTATATTTATTCTAATTTGTGTTGTTTAATTAAAAAATATACAGTTAGTAGAAAATATTTTCAGAGTTTCAATAGAATAAGATTACAATACAGTTCTACTTAGTGAAAATTCTTATTAAATACATTATTTATTATTAGAAAAATCTATTTGAAATTAATAGAAAATTATAAAAATTAAAGTTGATAACTTAAGATACTTTTATTAATCATTATTAGATAAATATCACAAATTAAAAAAACATACATTAACTGCCAATAGGAATTTCATTTCCATTTGGTAATATTACATGATAATTGAATCTGATGATTTGAGGATTTAATTCAAACTTGCTTATGTTCAAAAAATAGTGAAAGGTGAGGATTTCACATAATTATAAATTAATCACATAATATCTTGGACATTAACATTTTAAAATTTAATAATAATATACTTCCTAAAATTGAATATTTCTACAACTTAATATTTTAATATAACATTTTTATTTGAAATTTATTTTTAGAAAGTGAAACATTCTAAGTTGGCAGAAGGTGTGGAACAAGCTGTTAGTGATAAAAAATATGTTAGTGGTGTTGATATTTCACAAGTTGATTTATGTTATCCACCCATAATACAGTCCGGTGGTAATTATAATTTGAAGTTTAGTGTTGTTAGGTGAGTTTGTTTTAAATTTTATTTTATGAAAAGTATATATTAATGTATTTCATTTCGTTTGTAATTCTTTTTAAATTAAAAAAGTGTATAGCTATTAATTAAGTAGCATGTAGATTTAAAATAGGTTAGGTTTAAGTAGTACTTTTTTTATCACATATTTTTACTTGGTGTTTAAAGATTTTTGGTTTTATTTGCATCATAATAGCATTATATAATAAATTTACAGTACAGTCATTGTATAATGCCAATGGAATTGTTTGTTATTTCAATGGTAAATAATAGTAATAGTGTATTGAAAAAGAAATCATAAACTGAATTATCAGCTCTAACATAATTACAAAAGTATAAGAGAAGCTTTTTCCTAAAATGATGAGATGCACGTTTAAAAATTTTCTTAGTACAGTAGAGTCTCGAAAACTCGACAGTCCGGATAACTCAGCCACACCCTGGCAGGGCAAAAAAATCCTTAGTTAATTAATTTTCATTATAGACAGCTTTATGCCTCATAAAGTATTTTTCTGAGGTCTGTCTTATCAGGTAAATTACTGTACACAGTGTATTCATTAATTTTCATTTTCATGTAGTAAAGGCTCTAT